TGTGCGTCATTTTTTTGTCGTTTCACCACATGAAATTCACCGGTGTCTGTGGCGACACGATGTAGAAAAGCTCCAGCTCTGTAATCTAGATTAAAGACCCAGAACATCACCCGCTCCAGTTTACACGAGGATCTCTGTGACGTGGTCGACCCGAGGCCTCGTGGTCACCAGAGGAACCGACGCTCGGTCAATTCGCCGCCCTCCTCTCTCCAGACGAGCTGCTGCTGGACGCCTCCCGGTGGATAACGCGCGCATGAATGGAGCTGAGGAAGATGTGACTCGGGCAGAACGTGACGCCCAGACGAACGAGGTCACGCTGGGCGTACCTGCTGCGGGCGACGCGACGCCCACGAACGGCACAGCTGCAAGATGCTCCAGCGCGCGCCGGCTCACGAGTGACAAGCGGGGACGCGTTGTCTCACATTCACAACGATGTCACTCACTGATTTGGTGTTTTTATGACGGAGCTGTAGGGAAATGCTGATTCTTTCTGTCAGGATCTTTGGGTTGTTTTGGGGCTTGATTTGTTGATTCTGGTTTTATTATTATTATTCTGTGTTTCTTTGATTAGATCAGAGTTGTTTCTGTTTTACTTTAGCTTACTACTTCTTAGTGATTGTAGTTTATTTCTTGTGTCTGGTGCTCTAGTTTTATCATGCTCATTCTTTAGTGTTGAATTCATTTCCTGTGCCACTTTCCCTCTCTCTCTCTCTCTCTTTGCTCACACCTGCAACCCGTTTCCAGTCAACCATCTAGTAATCCAGGTCTCCAGTACATGTGCAACTCATCCTCAGTCACTCCTTGCTGGGTCCCCCTGTTACCTCCCTGTTTTTCCCTGCTAAATTTTTGTTCCTAGATTCCTGGTTTTGTTCTGCTCTGGCTCCCTGTTGCCCCTGTGATTTCTTTTTTTCATCATTTCTTATTAAACTTTCAAGTCCTCTCTCTGCTGCTGCGTCTCTACATTCTGTCTTACGTCATTGCCACACGCATCAAAACACTTTCATTGTTATCGGATCTATTTAAATCCTGGCCTTTTGAAACTGGCGTTTCTTTTTTATACACAGAAGAAAATGTTCCCAAGGTCTTTTTGCAAAAGTTTTCTTTCCTTATTTTAAAATCTCAGGATAGAAATGAAGTAGTGAGTCTTTAAAAGTGACGAACGTCCTATATTTATCTAAAAATTACAATTAGAAGTTCTCGCTTTTACAAGATGTCACATAGTATTTATGGTTCCAGTCATGTCTGATTTAGCTGGACTGAGAGCCAAAATGGCTCCATGGATTGAGAATCAAGACTGACACATAAATATAACAGCTGCGTGCTGAAGTAATATTTTATCAGTTAAATCAAATTGTTATCTGTATAGCCCCAAATTACATCAATATGAAACAATTTGTAATATTTAACGTTAGGAAGTACTCATGGAGTGTAGCGGTAGCTACTTATTGATACTTTAACAGTTTTATCAAGACATTCTGCCACATTTGTGATCTTAATGTGGCCCAAAATGAAAATGAGTTTGACACACCTGAGCTAACGGACAAGAGAAGAAGCACAGAGTGGTAGGAAACTTAAAGATGTTCTAGATTTTCCTCTGTATCGCCCAAAACACTGCGGACCAGTGGATGAGCTGCCTGCTGGGAGAAGGAACGTGAGGATGTGACAGCGGCGGACACGAGGGACGGGATGAGATGGACGCTGATGATTCACAGACTCAGTCCCTGAAGGGGTCCAGTGGCTTCCTGCTGGACAGATCTGCAGAGCGTCTTAAAACAAAAATGTTAAAGTACTCGGAGTGCTTGAGTTTCACCGCGTTTGATCTTTGCATTAGTGATTTTTGGACAAAGATCTGACGCTTTGCTCAGTTTTAACAGACGTTCACGCAAAGCATAGGGGAACCTCACAGTCAAAGTCAAGTGTGCAACGTCTTGAGAGTCATGATTCAGATGGGAGAATTTGTGAACAGACATTACTGTAAGAAGAGAAATGTAGATGTGCATAAAACCCACCACCAGGAGCATATATGGTGGTGGCAGCGTCATGCTGTGGGGGTTTTCTTTCCTTCAGCAGGGACATTGCTAGAGTTCATGGGGAGATAGATGGAGCTAAACGCAGGAAGAAAACTTGTAAAAGACTTGAGACAGAAACATATGCTGTAGATCAAAACACATACTAGCATGGTCTAGTCAAAGGCCAAAGCTAGATTAAATGAAGCATCAGGACTCAAGAATGTCCATCCAATCTGACTCAGAATGAGCAACGTTCGTTGGCGGAGACGAAGTCGTGTGCACACAAGTGCACACCACACTTTTCAGAGTGTTATTTTAAAAAAAGTTTTGTTCTGCTTTACAATTTTGCGCAACTTTGTCTTGTTTTATGCAACAGTGGCTTTGGTCTAGTTTCTAGTGCAAATGTTTTAGTTACACTTGAAATAAGACAGGCTTGATGAAAAAGTATCAGTTCCACTGGCACGTTATTTCACTTCCAACATGGGAAAAATGTCTTGGTGTAAGTGAAATAATCTGCTGATGGAAAATGAAGGAACTTTTTACCTGAAACAAGCTCCTATTTCTTGCTGAAACTTGAAAGTTACTTTCAAGTGTGCTAAAATATTTGCACTAGAAACTAGAGCAAGATGTAATTTTTGAAGTGACGTTTTAAGACGAAACAAAATTATTTTTGAAACAATACAGCAAAGATCTACACACTCGATCAAGATGATTTAAAATCAATGTGGCAAGCAGAGCATCCCGATGTACAGCTGCTTTCTGTCTCAACTTCTCTCTCTCTCTCTTTTTTTTTATTATTATTATTCTGAACTATTGTGGCTTCACTGTGACATGCAAGTAGATTAAACAGATTAAAAGCTTCCGCTTTGGCAGGGGCACAGGAATGCACGCCACACAGGATGTTGTTGTTGTTGAGGGTTATAATTTTTTTCTTTTTTCTTTTTATTATGTTATTTAAATCAACAAACAACTAAAAAAAATGGAAAAGCGGCCACGCCGGTATGAATCTGTTGTTTACAGTAACTGTTTATACAGGCCGCGTGAGCTCTTCCGGTGGACCTCTGAGAGACAGCGCGAGCGTTTCCTATTAGGCAGAAAAGAAACAAAGAGAGAGAAAGAGAAAGAGAGAGAGAGAGAGAGAGAGAGGAGGAAGAGGAGGAAGAGCGGCGGCGTACAGCGTCTTGCAGCCGGAGCGGGTTGTGGCCGGAGGGTGGAGACTCGGCAAGCGGAGAGGAGGGAGGCAGCGGGGATCTCAGCTGGAGCAGAAACAGAGAGAGAGAGAGAGAGAGAGAGAGAGAGAGAGAGAACGGAGGAGAAGTGTGTGTGGATGTACTCTGCTCGCCTCGCTCGCTAACTGAGTGTGTGGATACTACTCCACAGCGCTGGATGCGTGGGGGCTTCGCTAAGAAGAAGAAGAGAAAAAAACCCTAAAGAAAGGTAGGATTTTAAAAAATATTTTTCTATGTTTCTCTCCCTCTCTCTCTCTCTTTTTTTTATTTTTATTTTTTATTTTTAAGTGGGTAAATTTGAACCAAAACAGGGTGTGTTCTGGAGGAGGAGGGCTTCCTCGTGTCCATGCTGTCGTTTTGAGATTGATGCCACTGGCTGGTCTGCATCATGGAATCCCCTCCTCCCTCTGAAATCAGTCACATTCTCCCCGCTTTGAGCCCTGGCTTCATCTCTTCTCTCTCCATACATCAGCTGGGGAGGGGAGAAAGAATGGACTCCTTTTTCTTCCTTTCTTTCTCTCATTCTTTCTCTCTCCTCACGATTGGGTAGCCCTTAGAAAGCGAAGCCAGAGGAACATCTGTTTCTGGGGATGCAGGCGCAGCAGAAAGGAGGTAGAAATGGCAGTGTGTTGGGTTCAGGCGTGGTGGAAGGTTTTCTGGTGAGAAGAATCGGGTCGACCACACACCAGCTCCAGGCGGATGTCCAGACAAGGAGGAGTAGGAGTTTGGTTGGTTGGTTGGTTGGTTGGTTGGTTGGTTGGTGTTTTCCAATGTCGCTCAGCAGAGACCGCACGACTGTGAGCTCTCGAGAAATCCAAGACAACAAAACACAGACGTGCGTCTTCATCCCCTCCGCCCCCCCAGCCTCTGCCTCCATCCTGTTTCGTCACGAAGGCTTCGTTGAGCTCTGCTCACGTTAAGTCAGCCCAGTGGTGTTGCTCACACGGGGCCCACGGCAAATGCAAGCTGTGAGTCAGGAATTACGCAAGCGCTCACATCCAGGCGGGCACCTAGAAGACAAACGGCAGCCTCGACCTCAGACCGGAGGAGGCGTCTCGCCGAGCGACCGGCGGTAAACAAGCCCAGGAAGTGATGATCAGCTCTGTGAGAGGGGTCAAATGTCACAGATGGAGCGTAGAAGGGAAGGGATGAAGGAAGTAATTGACCTCTTGACTGTCTGAGTAGATGTCAACTTTAAAATAACAGAACAAAAGAGAGGCAAAAAGCCACCAGTTTAAGGAAACAAGCCCTGACGACCATGTGTGCGAATGTTGCTGTGGAAACCACAGCAGAAGTCGAGGTCCTCAAAGGGACGGTGGGGGGGGTCGAACAGGATGCTGCGGCTCGGGCCACTTCAGCATTTGTACTCAGTGCTCTTTGTACTCACAGCGGATTTTTTCTAAAGAGTAGTTGACTTTACCCTGAGACGATGAAAGGGTTCAGAAAGAAAGACAAAGATTTAAAATCTAATAGCTGAATCCAAGTTAAGACCCAGTTATCCTGGATTTTTACACTTCCACTCATTCATGACATGAGCCCAGGCCCGGCACAGTGACAAAGTTTGCTGGACGGTAAATTGTCCCAGAAGTTATCGCTATAAACGATAACATTGTTTCTAGACCGTTTTCAAGTGATATAATAACGGCAAAAATAATGCAAAAACACGTTTCCAACAATCAGTAAGCTTTAAATTAGAGTGAAGATTAAACTCTGGAACTGTAAGACGTTTCAAATATCCAAAACGGATAAACAAAACAACAGAAGCGACAAGTAAAAAGAATTATGAAGTCTCTGTAAACGAAGTTGGTATCGACTCAAGACTTTTGTCATCCAGTTTTTGGTAGAAAGAGAGAAAAGAGAAAAAGCTTGTTTTAATTTATCATGCGATTAATTGGTTATGGCCTCTGAGACAACAATTATCTTTTGAGTCTAAACTGAGAGAGAAAGACTCATCTCACCAACTTTCAACTTAGACCGTCTGATCTGTATCTGCAGTTTTAGGGTTACAGTTTCCAGGCCTCAAGTTCTGAAACTAAAGTCTAACTTCGGATCACGTCTCGAGTCCCTGCGTCATTTTAAATGCATTAAATCTTCAGGAAATAAGTTCCTTCCTTCATTTAGGTCCTCATCTTGCTTCACAGCACTCTGTTGATTTGTTCTCACCTGATTCATGTCACTAATCTCCTCCCCAGCTGTTATGTCAGCCTGTTTTCTTCGCTCCTTGTCAGTTCTCGCTGTTCTTTGCTCCCTTTCAGCTGCTCTCCTCAGGCCCCGTCTCGTCTCTTTTGTCCCCGTTTCTTGTTTTTGTGCGTCATCTTCATCTTCAGCATCAGATTCCGGTTTTTACATTTGCACCTCAATCCAAATATGCAACAAAACTCAACAGTGGCGGCATTATTTAAAGGGATAGGACTTTCTGCAGGCAGCGACACACAGAGGCTGTTTAGAGCTTGAAGTTGGAAGCTGGATGGAGCTGAACATGGTTTTATCCTGGAAGAAAACCTGAAAAGCTACAACTCAGTGATTTAGATCAAAGCATAATCACGCATTTGAAAGGGCCCAAACAAAGTCCTGACCTAAATCCAGGTGAGATTCAGTTGCAAGCCTTGAAAATGGCAGTTCACTCTGAAGATGTCTGAACTATTTTCCGAAAAAGAAAAAAAAAAAAAATGGGGGAAAAATTTCAATTCAATTCATTTGGTTTATTTATACCGTTATGATTCACAAAGAATGTCTCAAAATTCTTTGTTTTGATTTTTGTTTTGTTTGTTTTTTTTACAAAAAAATAAGAATATGCATTATGTATATATTTTGCATTAATTCAAATTCAGATGCAATCCGCTTCCATTTGGTAGAAAGTTTAAGTCGCTGACTTTGCAGCAGAACCGTGGGCAGCCATTTGCATCGTGCCATTCATTTTGCTGCAAAGAAAAACAAAACGCCACACTTTCTTCGATTTTAATTTTCCGAAATGTTCGAAAGCAATCGTTTTCTCCCCACGCAGCAATCATTCAACGCTTGATGGAAACAGTTTGCCTTAAGGTTTGTGGTTGTGATGTGACAAAGTGCAGAAAACCTCACATGTGCGCTTTTGCAGAGTCCTGTAAGTCTGCTGTTGCCCTGATTCTGATCTAACACCGATCTAATCTAATCTTTAAATAAAAGTTTCATGATAATCTAAATATTAGTCCAAAGTCGATTAACACTCAGACCACACGTTAACCCCGAGCTTTGGAGTTATAACGAATGAAAAAGTCAAAGCGATTCCCTTTCAGCACGGACTGAAAAAGTTCTGAAGCTTATCCACATCGGTTAGTCGGAGCCTGAAACGGTCCGATCGCCTCCCTCTGCAGAACCGAGCCGACCCCTGATGTTTGTAATAACGCCAGCGTCTCAAACCAAATGCAGAGACATCCTGTTTGCATTCTTCTCGACAACTGAAGCAGAGAGAGCGTAGCGAACCAAAAACAAGGCTGATTGAAACCTAATCTGTGTCACACAGAAGGAAGTCGAAGCTAAACGTCGCTTCGGTGAGCGCAACAAACTGCCGGTTAGCGTTTGAAGAGGGGAGAAAAATGAGCAGCGATATTTGGCTCCCTCTTTGTTTTTGTGTTTTTCTGTGTCATCTGCAGTCAATATTTCAGAGAAAGAAAGAAATGAAAAACATTCCTTTGTCACTTGCTTGGATGGAACAAAGAAGCACCACAGCAGGCTGCACATGTTTGATTTAATAAACATAACAGAACACATTTGCACTCCCTGGAGCAACGAGTTTCCACCCTGCTGCCTGCCTGACTCCCAGCGGAGGCACCGTTTCCTGGCCCCCTCTCCCCACCCACCTGCCTGCAGGACCTAGATTAACCTAAAACACTCACAAGCACACAAGCACATGTGTTATTCACATGCACGGTCATGCTCTGCAGCCTGCAAGATGGCAGGATAGGCATGACGTGCTGAGGGTGGCACAGATGTCCAGGCGAATCGAAGGAGCGAGGGAGAGTTGGTCTGACCGAGAGGCAGAGAAAACAAGAGAAGGAAGCAAGGAAGTGCTCTTAAAAAAGGCTGACGTGCACGGCGATGGGTTCTCAGAGATGTTCTCTCTGATCACTTTGGAGGCCGTTGGCGTACGAGAGGGCTCATCATCATCTTCAAGAAACTTGGTTGAGAGGATTTCAGGTTTGAGAAGTCGGGTACGATGTGGCCATAAAAGATGGACATGGTCAGCAAGAATACTCGGATAAGCGGTGATGTTTACATGAATCTTAAGAGACTAAATATCCCCTACACCATTACATCATCAGTATTAGCCTTAACCGGTGGAATACAGCAGCATGGATCCATGGTTTTCATGTTTCTTACACTAATTGTGGCCCTAGAATTAGACTCGAACTCGAAACACTGAGTTCCTTTAAATCTGGACTAAAAACCCAGATGTTTAGAGTTGCTTTTGAAATGTAATCATGAGACATAAATCAATAATCTGATGTGTAATCACGGCAAAATGTGATATTGTTGACTGTGTGTTCTATTATCTTTTAATCTTGTGGTTTTATGATGTAAAGCACTTTGAAATGCTTTGTTGCTGAAAGGTGCTATACAAATAAAATTTGTTTGCTTTGATTGATTGATAACAACAATTTTCCAATCTACAGCTAATGAATATATCATTGTCTAAGTTTATCAGTTTCATGTTGCTAGCTAACAGGGAAGTTGTGTGGACATTAACTATTGTAAAAGCGCTTCTTCTTTTTAGGGTGCGTTCACATCCGCCCTGTTTGGTCCGCTTTAATCGAACTCTAGTTCATTTGCCTAGAAAGTCCGGTTCGTTTGTGGAGCTCTGAGAAAAAAAAAAGCGAACTCTGGTCTGCCTACAAACCTAGGTTTCAGTTTGGTTGTAGTGAACTCTGCCCCGGTTTGAATGCTTATGAGAATCCTAGCAGGATTGGAGAATGCTCCAAAAACAGGAAGTGGACTACAGAGCAAGGCATTCTGGGTAAATATAACCAAAACGAACGTGAGAGTCTAGAAATGGCTTGTAATCTTTTACAAAAGAAAAATTCTACAGGTGCTAAAATTTGACACCTCTCCATGTTTGTTTACATTTTGTGAAGGAGGAAGTGGCGCTCGTGTCTTCTTCAGAAGTTTTTGTGTCTCATTTTTTTTTCTGTGGTTCCCGGGAACAGGTTTTTCAAAGGGTGTGGTTCGCTT